TCCTTATTTCATATGGCTTAGGACAATGCATCAAAGCATGCGGGTTCACATATGCAGAAAACGTAATACTTCAAGTCGAAGGATAGTTACACCCGTGGTCGCGCTAAAGATGCTTAGAGCATGAACTAAAAGTTCAAGCAACATCTTTAGGATGGGTCAGTCCGGCATCCTATTATCTCTAGATAATATCTGCCCATGTACGGATGCGAACACACCGTCATTGACTATGAGACTAAGTCAAACATGCACCACACACTAGTCTCACATGCATTAACGATATCCCACTCTCGTTAATACTCGACTATGGACATTTAGATAAATATTTATTTCAAGATGTTAGTCTCATCAGCAGAATAACACTATCTGATAAACATATTTTAAATATAAATCTAGGAATATAATATTTGTTTACATTAGCATGAGATGTGTAAACATATTATATCTGCCTGTACATGATAGAATAATGATAAACAGTTGGCCATCAGGGCACAACTCCAACAATCTCCCACTTGCACTATGGCCAATCTAGCATCGGTCGAATGCCCATGGACCTAGTGTGACCCTCATGCTTTAGCTTTCCTAAAGTCTTGGTGAAGGGATCGGCTATGTTGTTGTGAGTATCTACTTTGCAAATCATCACATCTCCTCTGTCTACGATTTCTCGTATGATGTGATAGCATCGTACAATGTGTTTGGTTTTCTGGTGAGATTGCGGTTCCTTTGCCTGTGCAATGGCCCCAGTGCTGTCGCAAAACAACGAGATAGGGTCATTAATACTAGGAACCACTCCAAGTTCAGTAATGAACTTTTTGATCCAAACAACTTCTTTTGCTACCTCGGCAGCAGCTATGTACTCAGCCTCTGTAGTCGAATCGGTGGTTGTATCCTCCTTGAAGCTCTTCCAGCTAAAAGCTCCGCCATTCAGGCAAAACAAATATCCTGCTTGTGATTTTGAATCGTCTCTGTCGGTTTGGAAGCTAGCATCAGTGTAACCGACCACCTTTAGCTCTTCCTCACCACCGTATACCAGGAATGCATCCTTAGTATTGCGAAGATA